ATATTTACAAGAAACTAATGAAAAGAACTTGGATGTAGAATAAAATCCTCAGTTTGTTTTCAACTCAGCAGTAAATGACAGACGTGTCCTGTGCTGACTGAATGCTTGGACAATGTTAAGGTGACCGCCATCACTGAGCCAAGATACTATCACATGCCTCAGAGTCAGGGGCCGACTCCTCAAAGCCAGCCAGCCTTAGTAGGCAAAGACGGGAACAGGATGCTAGAGACTTTTATCAACACCCAGCTGACGTGAGAAAGGGTGAAATTTGTAGCCATAAATCTTCCAGAAACAAGGTAAATCTGCAATTTATCCACAACTTAAGAAAAATAGTGAAAACAAGAATAAAACAGCATTATGGTATATGCAAAGAGCAACTGATTTAATAGTCAGATCTGGCTACTATTAATATTTGGCTCTAATGGGCCTCAAGCAAGTCCCTCAACTACCCCAGATACTCTCTCATCCAGGATATGAGTGTATGCTTGCTATAACTCGATGGTCTCCCAACTGTTTTTCAGTTGTGATATAAGTATTTTAGATTTAAGGAAGGAGGGGATCAGAGATGACTGTTATATTTTAATGCCCATCACATATTTAATAATCAGTTTAAATAAGGAGATATTGATGCTAGCCTTGATGAAAATCCTGAAACATCTAGCAAGAACGATGATAAAACTGAATTTAGGTCAAGACATGTCAACCAAATTCAAGATTAAAAATATGACACGTGGAACTTCAATTTCCATAATGCAATTTGATACTGCTAAAACTGTAGTACTCAACAAATTTAAAAAAATCCTTACTAAGTATAAGAAATTTTTGCAGTCGTTAAAAAATTGAGAGAACTTTAAATTTACCAGAAATGCCCCAATACGCAAACACCTAAGCTAAAACCACCTATAAGCTACTGTTATATTTTACTCAAAGTAATTGTTATTCACATCTTGACTGATCTTGACAGTGGTACACATGGCTGGTTTAGATTTACACTGGACTTATGTAAAATGTAATACTATGTATGTATCAATAGATGCATCACTGGTGCAAATTAACTTTTTAAGTGAGTTGAGTGAGAGTCACTCAGTTGTGTTCAACTCTTTGCAACTTCATGGACTGTAGCCTGACAAGCTCCTCTGTCCATGGAATTCTTCAGGCAAGAATACTGGAGTGGGTTGCCGTTTCCCTCTTGGGCAATCTTCTCAGTCCAGGGATTGAACATGGGTTTCCTGCATTGCAGGCATATTCTTTACGATCTGAGCCATCAGGCAAACTTGATCACTGGTATGAATTAAAAAAAAAAAAATTTAACCTGTTGTTGATTTATCCAGATTTGTTATTCATAAATCCAAAATTTTCAATGGGTTCCCTCATGGCAAAGGAAGATGCCATGCAGCACATACAAAAGATACAGTCCTAACATTAATTGCAAAGTAAGTTCCCCATCATATTCATAAGAGCCAGGTTATTATACCTTTCTCTAGTGGCTTCACTAAAAAGCACACTTAAAGGAAAAAAAAAAATCTAAGAATAAAAGAACAAGAGATTACAAAAAGTATGCTGCTTTGGACATATGATGTGACAGTGTCAATAAGGCAAGTGTGCTAAGTAAAATTTCCATAAAGAATTTTCCATTGTACTATAATAGGTCTTATCCCTATAGTTGTTCTTTAAGAACTCCATTTCTAAAGCACAGTATGTAATTTCAGGAATTTCTTCATTGATTAGATAAATATAATGTGACAAGAGCAATTCTAAGGCACTTCTCTCTCTAAAAAAGTTTTTAAAAGTGTGGTTAATACATTCTTAAGGGTTCACATTTGTATAACAGAAACAAATTTGTAATAGGACATATCATGGAAAATGTTTAAATGAGACTAATGCTTTTAGAAGGCATTTGGTAGCATCCTACACAACAGATTCCACAACTCAGCTTAATCTTCAGACACCCACTTGTGCCAGGGTCAGTAGAACAGAAAATTCTATTTATCAAAAATTGAATTTCCTGTTTAAAAGTAAACACCACCTTTGATATCAAAGCTATTTAAGTTCTGTCCACATGAATTGCTGTATTTGGCTTTTACTGAAACTACCAGTAAACTCCACTATCACTCTGATTTAGGAAAGCACAACGTTTTTGGTGTGCACATGCTCCAATGTGACCTTGCAATGTGAACACTCTGTATACCACAGCAGTGGCTCCCGGGGGAACAGCTGAGCAGCTGTCACGCTTCCCAGCAGAACAGGGTGTAACATTCTTTTGCCACCAAGTTTATTTAATGGCACACTCCAACTCTCATGCAGTTGGCTGAAAACTTCAACCATAGCCATTCACTGCTGTGAATCCATTACTAAACTGTTTGAAATTATTTTTTACCCATTTTAATCTCTTTTCAATAAACAAATAAAAACACACTATTTTAAACTATTTGGGTCAAATTAATTTTATTATGCTCCATGATGAATGCCACCAGTGCAACATCCTATTCACTATACATTAAAAAAAAAAAATTCACATACTAAACAAAATTTCAGTTGATAAATGGAAATGAATGATTGAAAGTCTTTATGAATCTCATACATACAATATGTGGCTAGCTGAAGTTGTCTATCACATAGCGTTTAGATATAAAAAGCCTCATGCTAGTTTGTTAAACGCGAAGGCTATCAGACAATCATTTAGCTGGAGTGCATGTGGGAAGCTCTCAGATGACGCACAGGTATAGTGCTGTCCACGGTGCGAGGCGGTGGAGGACTGAAAACATGCAACCTTTACATCTAAAGTGGATTTAGTCTTCATGCCTGGACTGAATCCCACAGCTGCTGTGTTTCAACCAATATTAATTTAGACTTGTGCAACAACAAAAGTCTTTTTTTCCCCCCTTTAAGAAGAAAGAATAAACTCAATTACCATTGGCAAATTTTATACCTATCTTACATGTTTAGAATTGTGTTTCCAATTCGAAGATTTGATATCCTCTGCTCAGAGCAGCTCCCAATAAATCTTTATCATACCAAAGTTAGCTAGAAAACCCTGCATTCCTTGCCCCAAAGTGAACAGATATCTTAAATTGGCATTAAAGATATTTCCAAGATATTGTAAAAAATTTGCATAATGTCTAAAAGAAACAAAAAGGAAAATGATCAATATCACTTAAAATAATTAAAACATTCTATTTACCATTTGCACAAATTCCTAATTTTATTGGTTAGTTGTTGTCCAGCCTCATCCACACCAGACCCACAGAGATTAAGCCAACAACAAAAAAAAAAAAAGCAGAAAAAGGTTTTTAGCAGCAGAGGGCACTGTTTTCTGCAAGAAACAAAAGGTCTAGAATCTTTCCCATGAGCTTAAATTATTCCTGCAAGGTACGTAACATTCTCTGAATAACTTAACTATTGTACTGCACCACTTACTGCTTTCAGCAACAAAAACCTTTTAAATTATTTATGATAACTAGATGCATGATCACTAGAGATTATGTAATAACTGGTTAAAATTCAAGCCACATCTTGCAGGTCCAGCCTGTCAAGATCATGCCAATAACTAGATTTTGGTCGGTACAATTATAGAGAGCTTAATTTTTAGTCGGATATTGTGACTATAGTAATGAAATACATTTGGAACTACATTCTGTATATGACTCAATGTGAGAAAAATAGGTGTCTGTATTTAAATCAGATCATTTTTCTACCTAAAATTTAAAGTAGGCAGGTATGATAATTAATGCTATATATATGAAACAATCACCCTTAGGCAGACTAGTGTACTGTAGAGAGGCAAGGAAACCCTAAATTTAACACATCATGTAGCGTATATAACAAATGTACAGGTTGTAAAGTTTTATTTTTACTTTTTTAAAATCTGTCATTTGGTTTTGTGTTCCAAGAAATTTGACACTGGGACCACCAATCTTTTAAGAAAAAGGTAACCCTTCACCTGACATTTGACAAAAACCTTGAAAAATTATACAAAAAAAAAAAACCACCCAGCATATTATAGTTTCACTATTACAGGGTATACCTTTGCCAACTAGGTAAGACTTCTATGGTTGGTATTTCTGAATATCTCAATCCATACATACTGCAAAATAAAAATACTTAATCCCACCTCATTTTTATAATGTTCTGATTTTTATAGTATATTTAACCAAATACCATAATGTATAGCCTCCTTCAGTTCATGTAGCATGGACTTATCTCTAAGATTCCCTAAACTTTAACATGTTAACTTTCCTTTCAAAATAATACCAAAAGTACTTTTAAAAAATTTTTGCCAAAAAGAGCCTGCCACATTTGCTATAACACAAAAATAACCTCAGTCAAGTATTAGGTATGCAAGGGCTCCTTATGATTCCAGCCTCCAAATACCAGATCTGTACAACAATAGGCAATATTGCTGTAAGAGGTGTGTTACTCATTCTCCCAACTAGCATCTCTGTAGTGATTTTACATAGAGCATATTGCTAAAATCTGAGAAACTGCATCAGTGTAGTGATGTCTAGAGAACTGTGCAATGTATCAGCTTCAACATTCATGTGGCATGTGTTCAAAAAGAAGGGGCTAAATAAACTAAGATTTGCGTCACTTAAAAAAGAATGTAGTGCTATACTAGATTTTAATAAGAAAATTTAGGTACAGAAAAAGTAGGGTATGAAAATAGTGTTTTCCTTCTGGCATTATAACTAAATTACATTAAGGTTTTTGTCAGTCTCACATATAATTAAACTCCCTTGTTGATGGAATGAAAAACACTCACAAATCAAGTGAGCATCCTGGTGTAAACGTGCACACAGTCACAGGGAGTAGCTTTGCAGAGGCTTATGACAAACCCTTACAGATTAAATGAGGTATTGCACAGATTAATAAAAAAAAAGCAAAAAGGCAACAAAAATATACAGCAAATTGGTAGAACATTTACATGATAATTTTACAGAATCCATAGACAGAAAGTAGTGTTTAGTATTTCACCTTAAAAATATATATATATAATATATAGATCAGTCTTCCCATTCATCATCATCCTCAAAATCTTCATCATCATCCTCATCCTCATCTTCATCTAGAAGAGAATCAGTAAGACAATTAAAACATACATATAAATAAAATGCCATTACATAATTCTTGCTATTCAACTTCTAAAATACAACCTGGAGGAATCCAGTTACTAAAATGGTTTAAAATGAATCAATAAAATACATCTAGAGTATGTGATTGTGAGCTGAAGATTAGAACGGGAGTAAGAAGATTGGATTCTAGTTCCTTAATCTCTGTGGAACCAGTTTCAACCTGTGCTTCCTTACGTGTAAAATCACATGAGCTGATCTCTCTCAATCAACAGGGCTTCCCTGGTGGCTCAGACGGTAAAGAATCTGCCCACAATGCAGGAGACCCGGTTCAATCCCTGGGTTGGGAAGATCCCCTGGAGAAGTAAATGGTACCCATTCCAGTATTCTTTCCTGGAGAATTCCATGCAGGGAGAAGCCTGGTGGGTTACAGTCCATGGGGTTGCAAAGAATCAGACTGGGCAAGTAAAATTTCACTTTCTCTGAATCAACACACATATCATAAGAAAAGCTGTAAAAAAACATACTTGCAGATTGTTTAGCCCGTTTCAGTTATAATTTCAGTGACAGGTAGGAACCGCATCAGCACTAAACCATAAAGGAAACAGAGTAGGCACCCCAATACCCAATCTCCTTCTCCCCTGATTCTCTCTTGAACCCACTGGCACTGCTCTTTCCCAGTAATCAAGGACCTACTATCACTAAAAGTGAACTTGAACATGAACGTCGCTCAGTTGTGTCCAACTCTTTGCAACCCCATGGACTATACAGTCCATGGAATTCTCCAGGTAAGAATACTAGAGTGGGTAGCTTTTCCCTTCTCCTAAAGCTGATGCTCAATTCTGTTCTCAGCTTTTGACCCATCACACACATCTGACCCAGATGATCACCCCACCCTCCTTCAAACTTCTTCCCCTCACTTCTAAGATACCACACTTGCCAGTCCTCCAAACTCTATTAGACTTTCACTTCTCTGTTTATACCCACTTCTTTGATGATCCCATCCAGTTCTGTACCTTTAAATACCACGTACATCTTAATGACATGCAGATGGTATTAACAGTGCACATCTCTCCCCTGAATTCGACTCATAACCAAATGCCTACTTGACATCTACTTTTAAATTTTTAGTAAGTATCTCAAATTTAATATGTATAGAATCAAATTCCTATCTTTCCTTTCAAACTTGCTCCTCCTAAATCTTTCCCCATTCTATTAATGAAAACTTCACTCTTTCAGTTGCTCAGGTCAAAAACCATCCATCAAAAACTCATCCATCACTCCTTTTTTCCCAAACCTTGTTTTCAATCCATCAACAAACCCAATGTTATCCATATTTCAAAGTATAACTAATATCCAACCACTTCTCAGGAGCTACCAATCTGATTCAAACCTGCATCATCTCCAGCTTGGATCACTGCTATTCATTACTCTGCTAAGAACTGTCCAGTGGCTTCCCACCACATTCATGGCCTCCAAAGACTTGCTCTTGGCTTCCTGCCACCTCATACTACTTCCTTATTCTTTTTTCTCTTTCTTCTTTGTTCTTCTTCTTGTTCCACCCCTACTGACCTTGGCACTGTTCCTCAACCTCAGGGAGTTTATACTGGCTGTACATACTTTCCTGTTTTCTACAAGGTTTACTCTCTGAACTCCTTTGAGTCTTTTCTCAAATGACATCTTAGGTAAGCCTCATTATCCTATGATAAATGAAATTCTCTCTCATAGTCTATTAGTCTTTTCCCTTTTCTGCTTTCTTTCTGTCCTTAGTGAGTGAAAGTGAAGTTGCTCGGTCGTGTCCGACTCTTTGCAACCCCATGGACTGTAGCCTACCAGGCTCCTCCGTCCATGGGATTCTCCAGGTAAGGATACTGGAGTGGGTTGCTATTTCCTTCTCCAGGGATCTTCCCGACCCAGGGATTGAACCCGGGTCTCCTGCATTGCAGGCAGACGCTTTATCGTCTGAGCTATCAGGGAAGCACTTACTATATATCACTATTTAAAGTACATATTTTCTAATTTGTTTTATTTATTGTCTCTCTCTCTTTCTCACTGGAATGCATGCTACAGAAAGGCAGGGATTTTTCTTTTTTTCTTATTATTTCACAATAAATACTTGTGGAATGAATTAGCTTATTCTACCTTTCAGCACAGTATAGAAATGAAAATGCCTATTTAAGGAAAACAAATGTTGCTAAAGGATCTTAGATATTCACATCCTTAAGGGGAAATAAACAGGAGGAAAACAACATTTATTGAGCACCTACTATGTGCTCAGCAACCTGCTGGTTATTTGCATAATAATTTGCTGTTCATATCAATCATATGATTTATGAATTCTCTCCACGTAACAAACTGGAGAACTGAGGTCCACCACAGTGAATAAATAATAGATTTAATAAGAAAAAGATCTGCTTCTAGTACATCATGCTCTTCAGTAAATCTCAACCATTACTGCAGCAAAACCCATATTCTTTCTCTTTTAAAAATGATACTCATTTAACGGTGGTGTGCATATGTTTAATAACCACAAGTACAAACTACTCTATTCAAATAACATTTTGGGAAAAAACAAAAAAGAGGAAAAAAAAAACTAGGGTTCTTTGGCAAACCCCAGAAACAATATAAATTATCTCATTTCTCAGTCCCAATTCTTACAAATTAGTAAAACCTAAATTTCTTAAGTCACAAGAATGTCTCAGGAATGAGATACAAGAATGTCAAGTCTTTTTTAACAAGTTGTTTGCCAGGCATTCTATTAATACTTCTTCTAGTTTGGGAAACAAAACTGCCATTTTTGCCAAAATTGTTCTTCCAATTTATGGTTATGACATGGCATCCATTAAGCTTCAAACAGACTAGTCACAGTGACGACAACTTAAAATATGTCTGAGAACCTACATCAATGAGGTATTCAATAACAGGAAGAAAATCTAGAAAAGACTGTCACAGCATAAAAAGAGAAACAGAACTTCAAACATTCAAATTTACTAACTATACATACACACACGCAAACATACCTGAAGAATGAATGGCTTTGCTCCTCTTCTGCATCACCTCCATTAATGCACCTACAATTCCTGAAGTGGGTGCAGGTGCTGCTGGTGTAGACTCTGGGGCATCAGTTACCTTGGAAAGGAAAGTTAGCAAAACTGAGTAATACATCCTCAGCAGAAAGTCTCTGTCTCCAGAAAATCCTTCTCTCTTACAAGCACTTCATTATTTTAAAACAAAATAAAACTAAAAAAGCAAACAATCAAGCCCAAGATAGGATTAACTGAATTAATAAAAAACAAACAAACAAAAAATTGCTGCTTTAAAAGACTTATGTAAGATGTATTTCCTATTCTTAATGCATAGACCATCAATAGATTTCCAAATTTAGATTAAAAATCAAACTTTTTGCTACTTGCCCTTGAAGTTGGGTTACTTCTATTCATTCTAACACACAAAACCTTGGCTGGTAAGAAACTTTAAAACAGTTATCAAAGGATATTGTTCTATAAAACTGAGCACATATTTAGATTCCTAGAGTTACTAGGTGAGAAGCACATTTTAAGATATCTAAGAGCATTTAAAGAGACTTATATTTTCCTGAAATTCAGCTTTGCTAATAAGCTTTATAATTTTAAATTTTATATTTAATATAAAGTTACAATATAAATATGTATAATAGACAATATATATACTGTAATTCAAAATGAACCTTCCTTCTCATGTATATGAAACTTCACATTAAGGAGATCAGATGGGTAGCCTTCAAAATGTACCTCACAAGGCAACTAACTTTCCCCAATTAAAGTACTGTTTACTTTATCTAATACAAACTACATTTAGGGAAAAAAAATCAGTATCAAAGGGTCTCATTAAAGAGATTCACAGACTTAGAAAATCAACTTATAGATGCCGGGGTACGTAACGGTTAGGGTTTTTGGGAAGGTCATGTACACACTGCTATATTTAAAATGGATAACCAACAGAGACCTAATGTACAGCACATGAAACTCTGTTCAATGTTATATGCCAGCTTGGATGGCAGTGGGGCTTGGGGGAGAATGGATAAATGTATAAGTATGGCTGAGTCCCTCCGTTGTTCATCCGAAACTACTACAACATTGTTCATTGACTATACCCCAATACAAAATAAAAAGTTGTTTTTTTTTTTTAAAAAAAGCCCTATCAATAAAGGGTCTCATTAAAACAGAAAAAAAGGATCTTATTAAAATCTAATTTCTATATAAAATAATCCCTGATTTCAACACTCCCAACTCTTTCCAACCACATGGACTATACAGTCCATGGAATTCTCCAGGCCAGAATACTGAAGTGGGTAGCCTTTTTCTTCTCCAGGGGAACTTCCCAACCCAGGGATCAAACCGAGGTCTTCTGCATTGCAGACTGATTTCTTTACCAGCTGAGCCACAAGGGAAGCCCCATTAAAAAAGAGACTACAGGAAATTTGTAGAAACTAAGGGGAAAAAAAAAAGCAATTTAGAAAGTACTGCTCTCTGTGCACTTTGATTAAAATGAGTAGTTATTTATACAAAATACTCATTTTGTTAATTTTGTCCCTGGACTTATAGTATCCACAGAAAAGTATGTTATTGGTATAATTAAAAATGAAATAGCACAACTATACTAAATAATTATACACACATACACATAGCTACCCTTGAATAACATGAGTTTGAATTGCATGGGTCCACTTATATGCAGATTTTTTCCAATAAATATATTGGAACATTTTTTAAAGATCTTCTACATCTGAAAAAACTTACAGATGAATCACATTGCCCAAATACATGAAAAAATTAAGAAAAAGTTAGACATGTCACAAATGCATAAAACATATGTAGATACAGGTCTACTTTACCATTTACTACCATAAAGTATACATAAATCTATTGTAAGAAGTTAGAATTTATTAAAGCTTATGCACACACAGGGACTTTGGGAAATCCTACATACATGGCACCATTCCCTGTTAACAGAAATATAAACAAATGTAAAGATGCAGTTTTAAATCATAACTGCATAAGGTTAATTGCAGTGCTCACTGTTCCACTGTCCTAATTTTGTAGATATCTTCTAATTCAGTTGCTAATTCAGTGAGCCATGCATGAGTATCTATCTACTTGAAACTCCTTGTGATTCTACTAATGTGAGCAGTTTGTCTCCCCAGTAAACTGTGCATCACAGTAAAAAATGATCTCTTGAAGTTCTCATGTATTTTTCACTGGATTGAGTGCAATACTGCACTCATGAATAAAACCATGGGACCCATATGAAGTGCCACTGGTAATGCTGGAAGTGCTCCAAAGAAGGGGAGAAAAGTCCTGACATTACAAGAAAACACTGAATTGTGTGATATGTTCAACAGAATGAGGTCTGCAGCTGCCCACCATTTAAGGATAAATGAATCCAGCATTAAGGATCATAATGAAAAAAGAAAAATAAATTCATGAAGCTATCACTGCAGTTAGGTGTAGGAGACCAACCCCTCTTTTTCCTCCTCCTCCTCCTCAGCCTACTCAGTGCGAAGACAACAATGATGAAGACCCTTGTGATGATCCACTTCTACTTAATAAACAGTAATCATCTGCCATCATCACGCAGAGTTCCAAAGAACAGCAAGGAGAGATTAAGATATGCAAAGTGATCAATGCAAAGAAATAGAGGAAAACAATAGAATGGGAAAGACTAGAGATCTCTTCAAGAAAATTAGAGCTATCAAGGGAGCTTTTCATGCAAAGATGGGCACAACAAAGGACAGAAATGGTACGGACCTAACAGAAGTAGAAGATATTATGAAGAGGTGGCAAAATACACAGAAGAACTATATAAAATAGATCTTAATGACCCAGATAACCACAATGGTGTGATCAGTCACCTAGAGCCAGACATTCTGGAATGCGAAGTCAAGTGAGCCTTAGGAAGCATCACTACGAACAAAGCTAGTGGGTGTGATGGAATTCCAGTTGAGCTACTTAAAATCCTCAAAGATGATGCTGTGTAAGTACTGCACTCAATATGCCAACAAATTTGGAAAACTCAGCAGTGGCCACAGGACTGGAAAAGATCAGTTTTCATTCCAATCCCAAACACAGGCAATGCCAAAGAATGTTCAAACTACCACACAACTGGACTCATCTCACATACTAGCCAAGTAATGCTCAAAATTCTCAAAGCTGGGCTTCAATAGTACATGAACCATGAACTTCCAGATGTTCAAGCTGGATATAGAAAATGCAAAGGAACCAGAGATCAACTTGCCAACATCCATTGGAGCATCGAAAAAGCAAGAGAGTTCCAGAAAAACATCCACTTTTGCTTTATTGACTACGCCAAAGCCATTGACTGTATGGATTACAATAAACTGTGGAAAATTCTTGAAGAGAAGCGAATACCAGATCACCTGACCTGCCTCCTGAGAAATCTGTATGCAGGTCAAGAAGCAACTGTTAGAACTGGACATGGAACAACAGATTGGCTGCAAATCGGGAAAGGAGTATGTCAAGGCTGTACACTGTCACCCTGCTTATTTAACTTATATGCAGAGTACATCATGCAAAATGCCGGGCTGGATGAAGCACAAGCTGGAATCAAGACCGCCTGGAGAAATATCAAAAACCTCAGATAGGCAGATGACACCACCCTTATGGCAGAAAGCGAAGAACTAAAAAGCCTCTTGATGAAAGTGAAAGAGGAGAGTGAAAAAGCTGGCTTAAAACTCAACATTCAAAAAAAGAAGATCATGGCATCCAGTCCCATCACATCATGGCAAATAGATGGGTAAACAATGGAAACAGTGACAGATTTTATTTTGGGGGGGCTCCAAAATCACTGCAGATGGTGACTGCAGGCACGAAATTAACGCCTGCTCTTTGGAAGAAAAGCTATGACCAACCTAGACAGCATATTAAAAAGCAGAGACATTACTTTGCCAACAAAGGTCCGTCTAGTCAAAGCTATGGTTTTTCCAGTAGTCATGTATGGATGTGAGAATTGGACTATAGAGAAAGCTGAGCGTTGAAGAATTGATGCTTTTGAACTGTGGTGTTGGGGTTAGGGAAGACTACTGAGAGTCCTTTGGACAGCAAAGAGATCAAACCAATCAATCCTAAAGGAAATCAGTCCTGAATATTCATTGGCAAGATTGATGCTGAAGCTGAAACTTCAATACTCTGGCCTCCTGATGAGAAGAATTGACTCATTGGAAAAGACTGTGATGCTAGGAAAGATTGAAGGCAGGAGGAGAAGGGGATGACAGAGGATGAAATGGTTCGATGGCATCACCAACTCCATGGACATGAGTTGAGCAAGCTCCGGGAGTTGGTGATGGACAGGAAGCCTGGTGTGCTGCACTCCATGGGGTCGCAAAGAGTTGGACCCGACTGAGTGACTGAACTGATCATGCCATACAGTTAATAAAACTTATCTGTTGTGTAAATGTGCCTTTTTGTGAAAATCTAAGACTACATGGCGAGAACTGTATGAAATATTTTTGTGTCAACATCGCCTAAGTATTCATCACATAGGACACAGTGTATAAGATTGAGTTATGTCACCATGCGGTATGCCTCTCGTAACTGGAGAAACTGTGTAGCTGCCTATCATCACAGGTAAATGGTTTTGAAAAAAAAATAACAATGTTTCCAATACAGTATTAAGAATATGATTGTAATAATATATGCCATAAAATTTTATGATTCATTCATTAGTATGTAGGTTAGCTACAGTGAAGCAATAATATTGAATATACTAGGCTACCATAAAGCAATCATTATTGCTATCAATGTATGAATTGTTATAACTGCAAATAACTATAAATTTCTCATATTTTCATTTTCAATGTCTAGTGTATTACATATAACATCTAGCATTATATAAGAATACTGACAAATACTGATGTAGGCACTAACAGACTATTCATCTTGTGAACAGGATGATGTAAAGTTATAGTATTAATAAATCCAATTCAGTACTGTAAATGTATTTTCTCAACATTTCTCTTCTCTAGCTTACTTTAAGAATATAGTATATAGTATAATATATATAAAACATACAAAATATGTTTATTTTTATGTTATTGTAAGGCTTCCAGAAAACAACAGGCCATTAGTAATCAAGTTTTGGGGGAGTCAAAAGTTATACACACATCTGGCTGCTCAGGGGGCTGGTACCCAAAACTCCCATGTTGTCCAAGGGTCAACTTATGTATCTGAAATTCTAAAGGGTGCGGCCCCATTAAAATCTGCTTTTCATCTGGGCTGTGGTCATTTTGACAATAATTCTGCCCACTAACAACCATTCAAAGTTCCTGAGAAACCTTTAGTCAGAAGTAAATGGGAAGAGGGAACAGTTGATTGTTCAGAGGCTGATCTAAGTATCATTCTGGATACATGTTAAGAAAAGATCTAAACACATTTTAAAGACTGGAAGTTTCTTAAATCTGTGCTATGCTAATGTTTAAATGCCTTCATTCAATTAGTTGTATTCCCTATCTGCCACTTCCTTCCTAGATAGTTTCTAGGATTTAGGAAGTTATAATTCTCTACATACTGCAGAATAATTTTCCATTAAAAATCTCTTTCAGTTCCATTTACTTCATAGAAAAAGCTATCATCTGTAACCTGTCTGAAGTCCTGCAGAAAAATGTTCCTCCAAGAACTGAGAGACCACATATAAAGGTCTCTCAGGAAGCATATGAATGTTAGGTAGCTTAGGCTTTAGGTCAGGAGTCAGGAAACTACTGCATGGGCCAAATCTAGTCTGTCTCATCTTTTTGTATAACTTTTTTAAAGCAAGAATGATTTTTACACTTTTAAATGGTTGAAAGAAAACAAAAATTAAAGAATATTTGTGATATGTGCAAATTATATGAAATTCAAATTTCAGTGTCCATAAATACAGCTTTATAGAACACAGCCATGTCCATTCATTTATGTGCTACCTATGGCTGCTTCCACAGTACCTGTACAGTGGTTGCATCTGTGGTGTGACAGCACAGCTGAGCAGCTGTAGCATATTATATGGGTCTGCAAGCCTAAGCTGTTTACTATCTAGTCCTTTAAAGAAAAAAGTTTGGTAACCTCTGCTCTAAGTGAAAGTGAAAGTGAAGTCGCTCACTTGGGTCTGACTCTTCCCGACCCCATGGACTATAGCATACCAGGCTTCTCTGTCCAAGGGATTTTCTAGGCGAGGGTCCTGGAGTGGGTTGCCATTTCCTTCTCCAGAGGATCTTCCTGACCCAGGGATCAAACCTGGGTCTCTCACACTGCAGGCAGATGCTTTATCGTCTGAGTCACCAGGGAAGCCCTGCTCTAGAAGAAGGCTAAATGATGACCTCATCCAGCTCAGAGAATCCAAAATTATCTGCCATCACTACAGAAATTCTTTCAATTCTCTGTGGAGTCTGATTCTCTACTAATCTAAATTTCAGACACAGAAACTTTAAAATATAGTTTAGTTTTCATAAAGTTAATGGTCTGACTTTACCACTATGATTACCATTGGTTTCAATATGGCTACTTTTACTTGTGTGTAGTTTAATAAAAGATTTTTCTCTCAATTAAATTTCATTTAAAAGTCTAGAACAATGAATTTCGAACACAGTGCAATATTCTCTTTATGAAGTTCTATAATAGGTAAACTAAAACTATGGTGACAGAAATCGGATTGGTGATTCTTTTTGAGAAGGGAGAGAGGCACGAGGGAACTTTCTGGGGTGGTACTTTTGATACAGAAATATAGGTTACACAGGTAAAGGTATAAATGTATGCATTTTATGGTATTAAAAATATCAGAAACTCATAGGGTTAAAAAAAAAATGCCAAGATAAAAAGTAAAGAAAAAAAATTTCTTTCCAAAGACATCTTGTAATTACTTTAAAATTCCATTAAGACAGATAGTCTAGATTGAAAAGAATGGATTACTTACAGATTTCAGTTGAATACCCTGTCGTATCTGGTCTAAAAGTGCATCCCTTCCGGAGCAGGACACCGGCCGACTGTTCTGTTCCACTTTTTTTAGCTGAGCACCCTCTCTAATTTGATCTAAAAGAGCTGCTTTGCTTCCTGCAGGAGTCGGAACTTGGTGGTCAGCGTCAGAAGGGAGGCCAGGGGGAGGCGGTGGCCCCGGGGGAGGCGGCGGCGGAGGCGGTGGGGGCGGCGCCACGGACCCGCTCACTGACAGGGGTGGAGGCGGTGGCGGGGGCCCTGAAGGTGCTGAGGAGGGCAGAGCCGGAAGCGGAGGCGGGTACATCCTGTTTGGCGGTGGCGGAGGGACACCCACACCTGGCCTGGATGGAGGCGGCGGTGGCGGGGCAGCTGTGGGAGCTCTGGAAGGTGGTGGAGGAGGAGCCCCTCTTCCCCTGGCAGGAGGGGGAGGAGGGCCCGAGCTATGTGGCGGCGGGGGAGGAGGAGGCGGCCCTCCCCTTGATGGTGGTGGAGGTGGTGGTGCTGAAATACAAACAGAAAAAAGAAAGCATGCTTTTTTCCCCCCACAAACATTATACTGAAAAAGCAACATATTTCAACATGTATTAAAACAGTATGAGGAAAAAAGGCCTCATCTTTGTATTTTACTTTTCAAAGCTATGTGAGCAAAGATATCTTGTAATTCTGATATCTTATAATTCCCAATTAATTTGGGAATCCTCAGCCTAAAGATCACTTTCCTGGTCTTGAAAAAATAGTCACTAAAGTAGTAGAATTTAGTTGCTATAAATCAGCACCACTTCTCAAGGTAAGGGAATAAACACATTTTTATATAGTAATAAAAAACTATAACAATGAAATTAAACATTTTGGTCAATAAGCATCATTTTACATTTTAATAAAAATGGTTACTTTTCCTCTTTAAAGAATCAAGTATAGTTAGCTGTTCTATACAGTTAATTTACATTCAGAATTAAATAGCTAATGTAGTATAATGTTAGAATTTATTCAAGTTAATCTGAGCTAAACTCAAATACTTTTTCTTTTAAAATGTAAACCTTTGTCACCTAACTTACATTTGTTAATTTATAATGTCCTCTATTTTTGTGTTTATAGGATATATAAGAATACATAATATATAATAAATACATAATAAATATATAATATAGTGATAGATATAGTGTAATTCTAGCAATGGCAGTAGGGAGGCTGGTTGCTCAGATGAAATGTTCAACTACTTCTTCAGGAGACATTAACAAATTTACTGAAAATTTCTAAACACTGCAAAATTCAAGTTAGTAGTAAAATATTAACATTACTCTGGTAGTAATAATATATACATTCTTATTTTACTAAAGGTAAAGTGTAAGTTAAAACAGAGAAATTCAAAGTATAAATTTATTACATTTCCAGAGGCATGATTTTACCAAGAGCATACACAAATTTACAGAATAATAAACTTCATTATTTTTTCATTAAAAAGTAGAAAAAAAAAACCTTTTTTTAAGGAATAAAGCTATTTATATTTACTGGTACAAACTAATATATTCCTGATGGATAGTTCTGCAGTCTATACAAATACCCACCTTAATTTCAAATAATAGGATTAAGCTCAAAAATGCAATGATACCAAGAGAAAAAAAAACACTCCAAAAAAAAAGTCAAACCCTATTTTCTGATTTCATGTGAGACAATCACAGGAAATATGCTATGAAATATGCTATCAAATGTGGTCATAAATGTGAGATGAAACAGACAGTAAGGCGAGGCTCACAGGGGTATTGTCCCCTGATTCAGAGACTTTTAAAACTGGAAACACGAAGCAACAAACAGGAGAGTCATCCTCCTTGGATACAAGCCACCACTGAGGGGAGTGCCCATTTACACTCAAGGCATGCTGCTGCTGCTGCAGCTAAGGTTCACCCAATTTTCTCACCAGATCCAAAGCAAGAAGACAAACTTGCTAAGACCAGTCTTTTTCCAACATATTTTGTAATAACAGTAAAACCAAAAGGATATGGTATATGTACATTATGTATACCCCCTGAATAAGAGAGTACATCAAATCCTCCAAGCAGATACAAAGATTTCATTTTAATCAATTTAAGGCTTGCATTTCAAAAATCAATGGTATTTATCCAAACTAGTATTTTTTACGATTTAATTGTTTGCTAATCAAGAGGAAAAGGACTTACTCTATTCTACTACAAAAACTGTATTGTTAGTCAATCATTTCCTGTGGTTTCGCCAAGGACTCTGGAACCATAATCTTCTATGTACAATGAACAATCTCTTCAGTAGAGAGAATATAAAGTTCTTTTGAACTGGGAGTAAGCACACTGACTGGAATAATTTGGGATTCAGCTAATAATCATTCAAAGAGACACTAAATTACTGATTAGGCAAGGGGAGAGCATTAATTTATAGTGAATAAATTATCAGCTGTACCAAATTTGGGTACAGCACAAGTTCAGCATTTCTATTCTCTGAAAAGTGACTGGAAATCTCTCTATATTTTCGTGACGAAAACATCTATCACCACCTTTCTATTTTTATAATCTGTACTATGACTACATAAAAAGCAAAGTATGCCAAAGATATGCCATATCCCAAGGTAAAAATATGAAGGAATTAAGACAGGAGAAGAGAGGAGAGATGGCATAACATTAGCTAGGTTCACATGCACAAAAATGTCTACTGGGCAGACACCGCACACCACTATGAGAAAGTCTCAAGGCCTACAGGTTTTCAAAACTCTTGAGTCACCACAAACACCAGATTCAGAATGACAATGATAGTTCTTAGATATTTAATTAGTAAATAAAAAGCATGACACAAAAGTTACAACAAATCAAACTGTTCTTACTATCAAAGCTTAGTGAGAAAGGAAGAAAGACTGAAGCTTCCAGAAAAAAACCTCATCTTGATGGTACACTGTAATGAAAAGCTGATATACTTAAAAATAATTATTTCAGATCAAATGAAGAGTAACCAGTAGATAACTCTAGATATTTAATATTTAAGGGAATTATAAGCAGAAATTATAAATAATACAAATAAATTAATATTTAAAAGAAATGTGTTACAGAATTCAGGAAACACTTTGAAGAAATGCTCTCATGCACTCTCATCAGGATTAAGCAAACCAGGCATACATTATTCAACACAGATTTAAATTTATGGGAATACTGACAAATCCCTGAGTTGTCCTTTACCCAACTGCATGTTTATGTTTAGTCCTCCCCACTGCCCCAAATTAATGTAAAAATATAAATATATTTTATGTAGGTTATTGAAATAATGCCAAGTGTAAAAACCAATCACTAAAAATAAGTATAGTAAGTAATAATAAAAACAACAGACTTGCTGTAAGAGGTAACCCACAGAATTTCAAAAAAATTAAATTACAGACAGAAATGAACTCTGACTCATAGGAATAAATTTCCTTTCTTACTTTAGCATCTATATATACCCCAAACATTAGTTAGAATAGAGGGAAGAAAACCTTACTGGATATTAGTTTTGGAGGCAGGATAAATGAGTTATAGCTTCTTTGAAAATAAACACATGCATAATTTAGGACACTGGGTCAAATAACATCCCCCATACATACCACTCCATTGTGGTGGACCTAAAGAGCAGATTATTTATTATAAATTAATGGACTTCAAACAACTGCACAGATACACAAAAAGATATACTGGAAATGATAAGGTTTACCACTTTTTACAAGCCTGATTACATAATTTTACAAAATAATTTCAAAAAATTTGAGTCAGGTCTTATAAAACCTATTTTTATGACAACTTCATAAACCTCTCCCTGTTTTTTTCATACTTCTGAATGCACTATATGCTTCGCCAAGGAAACATTTCCATAATAAATCATTATCTGTCTTTTTATTCTTCCTCTTAAAAAATGTATCTTCTATAAAATCATTCTTGGGTGTCTAAGAAGTTCCACACTGGGAATTAAGATTCTTGAGTATAAGAATCTTGAGTATTAAGTTCCTAAAGTGTATTTTTTGTAATGCCTGTGAATTTTTTCCTTTGCTTTAGGTAAATTCAATTGAGGACTTTGCCTAATTTGATATTTTAAAAGCAGCTAGAATAAAAAGCAGTAATAAAGTCAAAAAAACCAAAATCAAGTTAATACAGACCACTCAGTTATAGATATTCAGGTGAGAGGCCAGCAATATGGACTGTCTAATAAATGCCAAGGGTATTTATAAACTTACAAATTCAGACAGTTCAGAGAGAGCCTGAGCATCATCTGGTGTAAGATGAAGGTGAGTGGTAACAGTGGAGAAAAAGAGTCAAGGAACAAACTAGGTCCTCAAGACCTCCATCATTTGCACACTAATTGTAACCATGACTTATTTTGGCAGCATTTAAAACCAATGTTGCCCAGATGTTTTTATTAAAAATCCATACAATTTGGAAATGTGATTTTTTCCACAAAATAAGATAAATCATCATCATACCATTTTCAGTGGAATTAGCATTGTGTTGCCACAGCAATTATGACTGTATGATTGTTTACATTATCTGTTGTCACAATAGATAGTAAGATTTCTGAGGGCAGAAACCATATCTTTGTATCTAAATATCCTGAGTAGAGACTAGTGCTAACATAATAATGTTTACTGAATATGTGAATGAACGAATCAATGAACACCAGCAGTGAAAAAGATACAGGTAGGTCAAATACCTAATTTAAAATGTCAGTTAAATCTTCAAAAGAATGCTTTGATTATCTGAAGCTTTTGTTTTGCTACACTGTCTTATCACGAGTATGCAAAAAGGAGGAAGAAAAGTAGCCGCAAATGAATAAACTGGCAAAGGGAGGTAACAGTCATATTGGAAAACTGAGAGTTAACTGTATTTACATTTAATTGTGACAATTATTAAGATATGACCAAAAAACATGGTGATTTAAATAAAATATCAAATCTTAAAAAGGTGCAAGTTATTTGTGTTCTCAGGTACCAAATGGCAAGTATTATATTTTAGCTAAGAAAAAAATTTCAAAATAAACAGATTTTGCATTATTTATATTCTAAAAATGCTTATTATACATTATAGAATTCACAATTACATTTAAATTACTACTTCTAATGGTAATAAATGCAACTTTGATAGTGGTCTCTAACATTTACTAAGTGAAATATGCAACTGTATTTTTTTATTCTAAAACCAAATAGCCAGAATACTTTGTATGAATTTTCATGAATTTAATATAAGACTTTTAAATAGTTAGAAAAGCCTTGACAAGTTTTTTAGTTATACTGGAATAATTTAAAATATAGTACACTGGGGCTAAACAAGTTATCCCATAAATAACAACATTCTGCTTAAGGTTCACATGAACATATGTAGCTGTCATCTGTGCAACTGACCTCAAAAGATTCAAAGGAAAAATAGTCAGAATGCCTGAACAGAAATAAAAGTTACCTTGCCTTCGTAGTTCATTTTTAACAGCTTCAACACCTCCTGTTTTTTCAATGAAGTCATATATAACTTTTGATGTTTCTCTGTCTTTAAGTTGTGCCTCTGAGATTCCACACATATCAAAAAGATTCTTCAATTCTGGATCCAAATTATTCAGCTACAACAGATAAAATAACTGCTAACTATAACATCTATCTCCAATCCAGCAAGTTGAAATTTTACTCTCTTATCTGTGCCTTTTATGAAATTACTTTCTTTTATGTTTATAAATTTTTAATATAGTTAGAACATTTATATGTTAAGTAAATATCTTACAAAAAACAGAAAAAGATAAGAACAAAGAATAGCTTTTATATTTTATGTTATCTGTTTCCTACCTTTGTAAAGAAAGCATCTTATTTAGATTTTTACCAATCCCTTCATGACTGAAACATTTTAAAGTTCATCTATTCTACCTTGTCCTAAATAAGATTTAGATATGATCACAAATAACCACAAAAAGTATTATTAGATCTATTCCAAAATTTGACGTCAAGTACCTCTTTATAACCCAAGTACCCTGTAAAATGCCCAACACAAAGAGGCATTCAAAAACATTGTGGTGCTGTTTATGACAAGGCATGGAGGCAACCTCAAAGTCAAGTGACAGGGATGGAGAAAGAAGTGGTGCATGTATACAATAGAATATTACTCAGCCATTAAAAAGGATGAAATAGTGCCATTTGCAGCAACACAAATGGACCTAAAGAGTGTCCTACTGACTGAAGTAGAGCAAATAGAGAAGGAGAAATATCATATGACATCCCTTATATGTGGAATCTAAAAAGAAATGATACAACTGAACTACTTACAAAAAAGCAGAAGGCTTACAGACTTAAGAGAAGGAACTTATGGTTGCCAGGGGAAAGTGTGGAGGGAAGGGATGATTAGGGATTTGGGAATGGGAATGTATACACTGCTATATTTAAAATGCTTAACTAACAAGGACCTACTCTATAGCACACCTGCTTGATGTTACGTGGCAGCCTGGATGGGAGAGGAGTTTGGGAGAGAATGTGCATGCTAAGTTGCTTCTGTCGTGTCTGACTTTTTGTGATCCTATGGACTGTAGCCTGCCAAGCTCCTCTGTCCATGTGATTCTCCAAGCAAGAATACTGGAGTGGGTTGCCATGCCCTTCTCCAGGGATCTCAGCTCAGGTATCAAACTCACATTTCCTATGTCTCTTGCATTGGCAGGCAGGTTCTTTACCACTAGAACCACCTAGGAAGCCCTTGGGGGAGAGTGGGTATATGTACATGTATGGCTGAGTCCCGTCACTGTTCACCTCAAACTATCATAACATTGTTTGTTAACTGGCTATACCATAATATAAAAAATAAAAGTTTTTTTTTTTTAATATTGTGGTGCTAACACTGTAGTTCTAATAATAAAAAAGTAACCAAAATAATTTTTGATTCTAATCACAAATAGTATTTCTTTTCAACATAATTTTTCCAAACCCTGATTATCAGTCAAATGTTAAATACATATACTGAGGTAACTGATTTTCAACCATTCTGCTCAAATGCTATAAATTAATGAATGATGAAATCACCGAAAATAGTAATAGAATAAAAAGATCTAGACAATTTTTGGATATTCAGAATGTGACTCCGGTACTTTCAAGTAATTTGGCTTATATTCCCCTCAAATGATCACTCTGCAGAAACAATTTTCTCCTCTTCACTTTCAAAACATAGAGATTTCATATTATAGTAGATAAGGCCAAAGAGTTAAAAAAACTCTCTTTAGAGACTTAGCCATCAATGATAGAACAATATATGATTTCAAACCTCAGTGGAATATGAACATAAATATAAGCACATTCAACCAAAAACTAGAACTGACAAAAATGTATAAGAATAAAAGTCTAAAGGCAGGACATGACATTCCCACATATTTAAAGTAATAACATTTATGGCTTGAAAATAACTTACATCAAAGCCAGTATTCGGATCCCAACCCACATGTCCAATGTGCCTAAAGTAGCAGACAGAAAAAAACAGAAAAAAAAAATGTGTAAGTGACATTAAAAACATAACATACATGAAATCCAACCCAATCAGTGAATTTTTCGCCCAAACTAATGGTTCTTATAGACATAATCATTTTCAGGGCAAAAAAGTATAAGTAGTCAAGAGACCAGGATTCTAGCCCCAGCTCCACTATTAACTGAGCCTTAACATTTTTGCACAATCTTTCTGAGCATCCATTTCCTTAACCTTCAAACTAGCATAAGAACACAAGTATTCCAAGAATTAGAGGACAGGAATTCTGTAATGAAGAAATGAAGTAATGCACATGAGAATGCTTGAAATACATCAAGTGAATATTAAAGGTTTGATGCCTACAACAGACTGAGTGTGTTTTCCAAAAATTCCTATCTTGAGATCTAATCCCAATGTGATAATTCCTGGAGATGAGGATTTGAGGAGGTAATCAGGTCATGAAGGTGGATTCCCCAAGAATAGGATTGGTGCCATTAAGAAAGAGTCCTGGAGAGCTCTCTTGCCCTCTTCCAACATGTAAGGACACAACGAGAAGATGGCAATGAACTAAGCAGTGGGATTTTACAAGACACTAAATAAATCTTGCCTGCCTCTTTACAGCCTCCAGAACTGTGAGAAATAAATTTCCATTCTTTATCAGCTATCCAGTCTATAGTATTCTGTTAGCAGTCCAAACAGAATAGGACAATGCCTTCAAGTAATTTCCAAATACCATTTATAGGGAAAAGTGAGATTTCATTTTCATGTCCAACAATTAATTGAAAAAACAACTCTAATTTTTCTTTTCTGATAGGTGGAAAAATAAACTAAGATTTGTAAAAAGTCTATTGATCAATAGCATTTAAAAACTCCAACAACAAAATTACAGCTTAAGGTATGCAAGTGATAAGTGTAAGGGGTCTTCCAAAAAGAAAACAGAATTTTCTAACAATTTAAAAAAAGAGCAGAAATGTAAATCAAAAGTAAAAATAAGAATAATAAAAGAACTGCATTACTGGAAATTGCTTGGTGTTCCAATATCTGCCTTAGTTAACCTCTTCTTTTTAGCTTTTCCTTTTTTCTTTTCTTTGGTATGGGAGATATTGTTGATTTGTGGACCATAAAATCTATTTGTTGTAATTTCTGGATTTTTTATGTCAACTGTTGCCATGGGTAGATTAGGACCTGCAAATAAAATCAAAATAATATGAAAGAGACTTAAGAATTATCATAATCATAATTTATAATTTAAATACCTTTTTCTGAAGCAGGACCATTTCATTACTATAAATTATTTAAGTTTTAAAATCACGTTAATTTTTATAAATAATAAATTTCAAAATTTCTTAAATTGCAAAAATCTATAACAAATTCTTAAACAAATTAGCATAGATACATTATTTCAGAGAAAACTTCTATCTTTACAATACTAAATCTCATAAAGTATATGAATTTTCAACAAGAATTTAAATTTATCTGATCCATTAAATTTTGACTATTACAAACTTCACATCCAACACATTACTCATTAATGAAGTGGCATATATTACACAAGAAGAGTAAAAGAAAAGAAGCATCTTTGTTTTAAATCTAGTAAAGAAATCTAGTTTTACTTCTTTATTTCAACTTTATTAGTCTATGAGGAAAAAAATGCTTATATAATTATTACCACCATTTTTTCCAAAATGGTAATGTTTTAGTAGCATCTTCCTCATTACTATACATACACTTTGGCTATCAGAAGTATACAACTCAAAAATTTAAGACACAAAAATTCTTAAAACATTCCATCTTCCACAAGGATCAACAGTAAAAAGACCTCAGGCATTTTCAGCTATTATTAACAGCATCTCCAGGAGTGACACTAAATGTAGCACAGAAAATTTTGTTTTATAATTCATAAAAGTACTCTTGCTCTTAAAGGTATGAAAATCTGAATGAAACAAATTCATCTTAAAAATTCCTTTAAAAATTAAACTGAAGGGCAACACATGTGTCTCAGAGGTTCCATTTAAATGTATGATTCTCTGACAAAACTTCCTAGTAGACCAAACTCCTCTGAGATGATCACAGTAATGACAATTTTAAAACCGTTGTATAAAATATAATCACTTTTATGCAGAGAAAGAGTTAACATAGTAGGTCTAAGACTGCTATCTTTAGAAAGGCCTGCTTGCAAGGGAGCTGGCATCTAAGGATCTAGGATTTTAAGAGGGTTCCCATTATTCCCCGATTTAAGAGGGTTCTTATTCCCTGATAAGATGGAGTCTTTGTGTCTCAACTATTAGTACTATCAATGTGTTTTATGCTGATACCTGCTTTGCTTCTGCGAGTCTAGAATCTCGGTATGTACTAGACAGAAGATGCCCACATGACTAGCCCCCATTAAACCCCAGGCACTGAGTTTCTCCTTAACACATTTCATGTGTGTTGCAACAACTCATTGCTGGAGAAATTAAGCACATTCCCTGTGACCAATGACAGAATACTCTTGGAAGCTTGTGTGTGGTTCCCTCCAGATTTAATCCCATGTGTCTTTCTCTTTTGTTAGTTTTTGCTTTGTATCTTTTCACTGTAAGAGATCTTTACTATGTGTTCAGTCTTGTGAGTCCTTCTAGTGAATCACCAACTGGAGGGGTGGTGTGTGGAATCTCCAATACAATCATAGAATGGTAGACAGAAACCCTAAGAAATTATAGGCTAATGTGTATTGAGTGATCACTAAATGCCAACTTGACTATAATTCTTCAATTATCCTGAAAACCTCTAGGGCAACCTATTCATAAACATTATCTGAAATTAAACATTTATCTCCATGGGAAATTATATATAATTAATTTTCTCTCCCTCAACTCTACTACTGAAGATGAAACACAGTAAAAATAAAATTATAAATGCCATCTGCAGATTTAACAAATAATTTGTACACAACTAAAAGATATACACAATTCAGCTATTTTCCCTTAATATTCAAAGTCATTAAATATAGTATATAAATGTCTAAAAGTTCTATTTATAGTTTCATACAAAATTCTGTGGGAAATTGTTCATATTGGCAAGAAGTAAAAATTCTTTTGGAAAAAAATGGAAGCTAGTAAACAATATGGATAAAACCATTAAAAGCTGATTTAGCATCAAGGAATAATCTGACAATAATTGGACCAAAAATTAAAGGTTAGTTAAGCAATATAGGAAGTTCATTAAATAGGAGATAAAGAACTAGATTTTGAAATTTGTTCAGATTCAAGATTTGAGTTCACTGTAGTTTCAAAAAAAGGGACTTATTAAAAATAACGAGAATTCAAGTGTTAGAGGGTTGAATTGGGGTCATACTAGTATCTTCATAGACCTGTCCAGTGCTCACTTTTTATTTCTCATTCTTTATTTCTCATTTCTCTGGGACCATCTGACCTGACTCTTGAGAAATCTGTATGCAGGTCAGGAAGCAACAGTCAGAACTGGACATGGAACAACAGACTGGTTCCAAATAGGAAGAGGAGTACATCAAGGCTGTATATTGTCATCCTGCTTATTTAACTTATATGCAGAGTGCATCATGAGAAATGCTGGGCTGGAAGAAGCACAAGTTGGAATCAACATTGCTGGGAGAAATATCAATAACCTCAGCTATGCCAATGATAACCACCCTTACAGCAGAAAGTGAAGAACTAAAGAGCCTCTTGATGAAAGTGAAAGAGGAGAGTGAAAATGTTGGCTTAAAGCTCAATATTCAGAAAACTAAGATCATGGCATCTGGTCCCATCACTTCATGGCAAACATATGGGCAAACAGTAGAAACAGTGGCAGACTTTATTCTTTTGGGCTCCAAAATCACCTCAGATGGTGACTGCAGCCATGAAATTAAAAGACACTTACTCCTTGGAAGGAAAGTTATGACCAACCTAGACAGCATACTACAAAGCAGAGACATTACTTTGCCAACAAAGGTCCGTCTAGTCAAGGCTATGGTTTCTTCAATAGTCATGTATGGATGTGAGAGTTGGACTATAAAGAAAGCTGAGCACCGAAGAACTGATGCTTTTGAACTGTGATGTTAGAGAAAATTCTTGAGAGTCCCTTGGATTGCAAAGAGATCCAACCAGTCTATCCTAAAGGAGATCAGTCCTGGGTGTTCATTGGAAGGACTGATGCTGAAGCTAAAATTCCAATACTTTGGCCACCTGATGCAAAGAGATGACTCATTTGTAAAGACCCTGATGCTGGGAAAGATTGGGGGCAGGAGGAGAAGGGGACGACAGAGGATGAGATGGTTGCATGGCATAGCCAACTCAATGGACATGATTTTGGGTAAACTCTGGGAGCTGGTGACGGATAGGGAGGCCTGGCGTGCTGCAGTCCATGGGGTCGCAAAGAGTCGGACACAACTGAGCAACTGAATTGAACTGAAGACAGACTGAGGTATATCAGAGTGAGACACTCTCTTTATGCATGTCATCCTTCTAGGTGTGTCCAAATAGCAATAAGAAAGGAATAACCAGATTCACCATTAAAAAATAACAGAAATTTGGGAATTCCCTGGTGTTTCAGTGGTAAGGATTCTGTACTTCCAGTGCATAAGACTGGGTTCAATCCTAATTGGGGAACTAAGATCCCACAAGTTGTGTGGTGCAGCTGGAAAAACAAAACAAAAATTTAACAATTATAATTAATTTTTAGGAAAAAGGAAAAATAAAAATATTTTGATGTTACTTTAGTTTATATAAAAGTAACCTATATCTTATGGATGTCCTAAATGGTATAAAGTTGGTAAAGTTAACAGTTTAAATTATTTAAGCTAGTAGATTCTTTTCTGGGAAATAATAAAGTTAAGATCCTTGTAAGCCTGATTTACAACTCACTAGAGAAAATAACTTGGCCATCTCTGAAGAAAGTCAAGGATGAAGAGGACAGGAATGAAATATAAGTGATATGCAGAATAAATACCAAAGTTTCCCCTCCTGCCTCTCCTCCAAAATCAGGTGCGGATATATTGTTATGCATCTACCAAGCAGTTCATAAAGCTACGCCTTCAGCTACTTAGTGTTATTTCACACAAACTTCATCAATATTGGTTAAAACACTATTTAATTAAGTCTATATAGAAAAATTCAGATTTTAGAGACCTATAACAAAAACTGGTATAAGCTGGGAAATTAGCTAGTTTTTCTAAATCTTTCATTTTATGGACAAAAACTAAGGACAGTGTCATCACCAACAGAATGATACTCAGATGTGTTCTTTCTATAATAAAAAACAAAACAAACAAAAAACAACAATTAAGGACAGGAAGAGCCAGGTGAACTGTCTAAAGTCACACAATCAGTGACAAAGGGAAAGGTAAACTCTGCTATCTTGGTTTCTAAGTCCACTACTCTTTCTTTTAACTATTGTACCTTTTACACAACAGTTAAATGACAAGACTGATCAACAACGCTAACTTTACAATAAGTATACTGTATGTCTTTACCAATTTATCAGTTCTCTTAGTTTGTGGTCCAACTGTTACAAGAAACGGTTATGAGTTTCAAAATTTAGAAAAAATGGGTTTTTACACATTCAAGAGACTAAGTATTTGGCTATTTCTGTTGACAGCATTTACTTTACAGTTTGAAGATGTTAGGAAATAAATTTAAAATAATGTTCTAAAGCCTAATTATTTCAAAGTGACAGACTAAAAAATTAATAACTTGTATAAAGCACAGAATCACTTTTTAAATAAAGTTTATGAAAAGTACGGTAACAGAAATAAATCATTTCTAGTCAATTTTACTTTTTCCATTTTGAAATTACACTCATCCTAAGAACATGTATTAAGTAAATACATAAAGAAGGGGCGCTGTTTTCTTTCTTTTTCAGAAAGCAGTTATGACAAATTACCTTCTTCTGATGAATGACAACTATCAGAGAAAAGGTTTTTTAATATTCTCACTGAACAGCATTTCTAGTTAAATTTAAAATTAAAAGAACAAACTAAACTCTTCCGCTTAATTACATAAAAAGCAGAGAGCTCTCACCAAGGTAAAATAGTTGAGAAACAGGTGGGCTAGAGACCTCTGATGTCAAGCAGTCATGAAGCTGAGAACAAATCATTGGAAAGCACCTAAGTTAAAAGGTGAGGTTGACCAATGAAGAAAAAAAAAGAAAAGCGTATGGATTAGGAGTTAATGAGGAAAACACTTGTCCTAACTGTACTTTAGGACAGGAATACATGTTACTTCTACATAAAGTGTCTTTTTTTCAGTTACAATTTGACAAGGACAGCTAAACTGATGGAAATGAGGATTGGGACAAAGCCCCTGCATGGACTCCGCAAGGCAGTTAGAAGTGCCCACCGCCACCTGGTGGCAGCGCAGCAGATACAGAAACGCAAGAGGCCACCTTCCCGAGTCCTCTCTACACCACGGGGAGAGCAAGGCAGGCAACTGCACTGCAGCGGAAAATATGAACATTTCTATTAATGATTGTATGTGCATCTTATAAATAAATAAGTAAGCAAAGACTGGCAACACAGGCTGTATAATTTTTTAACAATACCAATTTAAAATTTCCTGTTTATTTAATGAAAAAAGGTTTGGGACCACTGTACCAGAAGGTAAAACTTTGTATCTTAAGATTTAAAACCAAGAGCCATCTCAGAGAAAGAAACTACATTTAATTATGAGTATCTCTTACTAGGGGTAATTAAATTATAAGACATCATTGTCACATAAAGAATATCCAAATTCGAACCATTGTGGATTAGGTGCCTCTTCAAAAATGTATTTTATATGTATTGAAAAGATTAAATTTACAAAAATCAAAAAGTACTTAGATCCTTAACTTTAATTATGTTATTTGTACAACATCTATACTTTACAATCTCAGATTACTTTCCCTAAAGATGCTAACACTAGGAAGCCTTTCACACTGGTACTTAATATATGCTCACAGGAGGCCAAATAGTTTAATAAATTAAAAAAGAGAAGATTAAAATATTGAGCACATAACAGGTGGAAAAACTTCTAATGCTACATTAAAGGTTCACAGATGAAAGATTTCTGGCCCAGCTGCTCTGCTTCCTTTGTCTCTGTGACATACTAGCTGCACACCTCAAGGCATGTTACGTATCCTCTCTAGGTCTCAGTTTCTCCTTCAAAACCATCCTGATGGGGCACAGAGGTTAAGGGGCCAGGCTCTGGAGCTGGAACACTTGAGACTGAATCTTGCTCCACTTTCCTAGTTCTGTGACCCTGAGCAAGCCACCTATCTGTGCCAGTCTTCTCATCTACATCAGGGATAATAGCAGCTACTTCATGTGTTTTCTGGACAATGCCTGGCAGGTAGCAAACGACCATTAAAAGGCAGCTGTGAGTATGATCCCTGTCACTGTCTTCATCATGATAACTCGTATTAAGCACATGCTAAACACCTTGATTACTTTATTTATCCCCAAGCAGTCCTGTAACCTAAGTATTAAAAATTTCCATTCAAAAGAGAAAGTCAAAGTATACAATGCTTGGCACATTTAAAGTACTACCGAAGGTAATCAAGTTTTTTAAAAAATTATAATAAGGTAAATAATCCAAAATTTAATAAAGCAATGTCTGGTTCATGTTATTATATCGCAAAAACAAATTTAAGGACAAAATCAGAAAGTAATAAATTGGTTTAAAAGAAACAAAAACCAACAACCACCAACAGTTGTCACATATTAAGAACTTTGTACTATATTAAGTGTTTCCTTGAATAATCATCCTACATTCTGATGAGAGAACTGAGATGCCTTTGAAAAAGCAGCAGCTATATTCCCCACTATAACAAAGGCTATCATAGGATCAGGGATCCCATTTCAGTGTGATGAAAGCCATGGATCCTCTTTCTCCAGAGAAAAGAACATATACAATATCTAGCACAAAACTTCAGCCAGGGTTTATTGGACCCAGGATGAGACTCTGCACAAAAGATCTAGGACCTTGTCCTTTATATCTTAGTATCCTGCTCTTATTCTTTAGTATAACTACATATATTTTAAATAAATGAATCTACATTATATCAGTTACTAATACTTCAATCCACATTATTTCATTATCAAATTAAGGAGGATTATGTGCAGCTACTATGTGTTTTAAACACATCAGCACAGTAAGCACAGCTACTATTTATTTAAACACACCAGAATAGTTAAGTGTTCATTCTGAAAGGGGCTAGTTTCGTATTCCCATTGTAAAATAATCTTTTGAAATAAGAAAAAAAAAGAAACATGAAAGTAGGAAATGAAGAAATATAATAGATAAAATTTACTGTTCTTTTTAAGGAAGACATTAAGACCAGTTTGTATAATTTTTGAACTTAAATCAACTGTACATAAGGAATTAAGATGTAAGTAATAGTGACAGGCACCTAGAAAATAGCCAAAGAACAGTACATTTCTAAGTCCCCACCTGTTATTTATTTTAAAATAAGAACACAATAAACTACAGTATTTAATCATACATATTAAATAGTAGGTATTAATGTGTATGATGGGGTTTCCCAGGTGGCGCTAGTGGTAAAGAACCTGGCCGCCAATGCCCGAGATGTGAGAGACCTGGGTTCAATCCCTTAGTCAGAAGATCCCCTGGAGAAGGAAATGGCAACCCACTCCAGTTTTCTTGCCTGGAAAATCCCATGGACAGAGGAGCCCGGTCCATAGGGTTGCAGAGAGTCGGGCATGACTGAAGCAACTGAGCACAATGTCTATGATACATGTTTCTACAAGGATTAAATTACAATCTAAAATTTTTTTGATCAATAATTAGTGAAGAGCTTACCATTTGGGGGGTCTCGTCTTTTCTCTGTTAGGAAATAAATTGAAAGAATATTATTAGACATGTGTTATACAAAAACCAACATAAAAAATTAATTCATCTAAACTCTGTCTTATTCTCATAAGTGGTTAATAAGAGTTTCTCTGAGGAAGTGACACTGGGCACCATTTGAATAAAGCAAGAGAGGGAACATATCTAAAGGCCCTGAGAAGAGAATAGCATGAAGGCAAAACCCTAATACTGGACTGCAGTGGACCAAAGGAAGAGCGGAAGAGAGAAGTCAGAAGGGAAACTGGGGAACTGGAGCATGTAGGGTCCCACAAGACATGGGTTAAGGAATATAAACTGTATTTCATATATGATACGAAGCTCTTACAAGTTTTTGAACAGGAGAAGTGGCACGATCTAATCTATGTTTTTAAAAGTTCTGCCTGGTTACTATGTGGGAAATAGAGAATAGGGGCATACAGGGACAGCAGAGGGATAGGTGAGAGCATTAGGTAGTCCAGATGACACACGACGGTGGCTTGGATTAGGGTGGTAGCAACAGAGGTGGTGAGAAACAGATTTAAGACATGTTTTTGAAGGTAGAGACAATGGGACTCACTGACAGGGTTTATGAAGAACCACTGTGAGCCAGAGTGACAAGGTGGAGCCAAGGCCTTTTACTGGGACAGGGAAGACTAGGAGAATAGGAGCAAGTCTAAATCGGGTTGGGGAGCCTGGATTAAGTGTTCTGTTCATACATAGAAGTTTGAAGGCTCTTCTGACACACAACTGGAGCACACGAGTCTGAAGGTCAGCGGTGAGGTAAAAGGGGGTAGATAAAATGTAGGGAGTCAGCAGCAAATAGCATTTAAAGCTACGGGATTGAATGACAGCATAAAGCCAATGAAAACACCTACAGACGCCTAAGCACGGGGCAGACAGAGGTAACACTGAGAAACCATGGCCAGCTAAACAGGAGTAACACCAAGAGAACTGCTACTAACCTGCTGCGTTCATACTTGTACTCTTGCATTCATACTAATTTTGACACAATTTTCATTTCAAGAAAGTTCAAAAGTGGTTGAAGAATTTCCAACAAATACAATTTCCACAATTTTTGTAATACAAAATTTTCCAAAATTATATTTTCAAAATATCCCAAATTTTCCAAATACCATAAATAAAAATATAATAAAATATTTAGTTTCTAAACAGCCACAATCCTAAAATTAATAGAATTTAACTGAGGGACAATTTGAAAATCCTGGCAATGGGAAATACAAATGGATTACTCCATCTGGTGGTCTGATGAAGTAATTTTCTGAAACATTTGATATAAGCACATCTTGTGTCCATGAATGTCAAATCTCTAGTTTCCAAGGTGATGTTACATCTATATCCAGAGAAGAAATACTTCTTAAACTGGTGGTGACACAAACATGGAAATATGTTGAGATAATGTAAAGTTCAGAGTATCAGTTCTAAAAAGCAATTACTTAGAAATATAACACTATCCTGGCTTGAGAACCATGTTAAGGAAAAAAAGAGAACCTTTGGTTGAACTAAAAATGAGCGAACAGTGTGAAGTGTTTGCTAGAAATGTTAGCAGAACAGTGTTTAATCGTATCAGGGGACATTTTTAGTATCACAGTACTAGTCATACCATGGTTGGAGTACTACATTCAAACCTGGACATCACATTTGAAGCAGGACCATTTTCTAAATGTGGATCATTTGAAGAGATATAAAAATCTATAATGCATTCAGAGCACAACATACAGGACAATGAGTCTATAAATTATATCATGTGAGGAATAACAAAATGGAAGTGGTTAAGCTAAAGAAGTGAAGGCCTAAGGAGGGCACGGTAGATTGTTTCCAAATTAAAACTGGCTAATTATTTGTTGCACCAAAAGTTGGTCCGCATGCATCTAAGTTAAAGAGAAGCGAGACTGAAGGCTGATTTAGCATGACAAGGATGCCCAACGATGAATCAGCTGTCTCCCATGTGGGTTGCCATCTTTCTGCTTCTGAAACACTATGACTAAAAGCTTATGAACTGTATAAACAGAATTTCTGCACCAGGTGAAAGACACCTTTAGGTGACCTATCTATTTCCAAGTCAATTATTCCATACAGTAAGAAGTGTTTTAAACTCTTTCTTAAATTGAAAATGTCACATAGTTTTACTAAAAGGAGTTCCAGGGAGCCTCTGGCCTGGCACCACAACACGTCACTGAAATAGGAACTGAACCTCAAATTCTTCCACAGCATAGAATCAAGTGGTAAACAACCCTGGCTCCAAAAAGAAGTAAAAAACAATAGGTGCTTAATAATTCTATTCACTCATTACAAAGAGGAATAAGATGACAGTGAGGCAACAACTCAGTTCATTTTCATTTTGTACTTTACCTCCTTCTCAGAAATCCATTAAAATAACAGTTAACATGTATAAAATGTAACACATGCCTTTCCATTCCTGTCCTTTTTCATAACTTATTCCCGCTTACTGGTAAAGCACATCCTTGCATACAGTGATTTTGAAACTGCGGTAATGTATACTTGGATGTACAAAAAGACTTTTCAAGGAATACATGAGCACAGCTAGTTTCAAGGGGATCTATACTGGTCTCATCTCCCATAAGCTATTTGTCCTACAAGTGATCTGCTTAAGATGATGATTCTGGAGAAGTTCACCTTTCCTAATCACCCTTCTCCCACTTTACAACAGGAATGCCTGGTATTTGACTACTGTTGAGTAGTTCTACATCAAAGAATTTAAAACGCTATATTATCCTGCATCATTCTCTAATGTCTTATATATATTAGAGTCTCATGCATTAAACTAAGTTCCTTATGATTTTATAACATACAACATTAGGGGCAAACCAAGAGACAAAGCAATGTTTACAAATCTTGTTTGCAACTTTGCATATCATAGGCTTGCCTAAAGTCTTTGTTCACAAAATATAAAATACTTTTTAAAATGTGAGTTACAAATGAAATAAGAATGCAAACATTAAAAGTCAGTGGATGTTAAATATTATTAACCAAAAAGATTATTGGAGTTCTCTAAATAAACTTAAAAAAAATCAACCCAATAAAAATAGTAGTTTTTTAAAGGGAAAATTAGCAACCTGTTTTGTGTAAAGGGCCAGATAGTAATTACTTTAGGCTTTGTGCTTCATAGAGACTTTGTCATAACTATCCAACTGTGCTGTGGGAGAAAACATAGTCAAGGACAACATGTAAACCAACAAGCATAGTTGTTTTTAATAAAACCATGTTTACAGAAATAGATGGTAGAACACATCAGTCCTGTAAGCCACAGCCAGCTCCTGTTTAAAGAAATTTTTAAAAATGCTTACCAGATTTCCTTTGTCGTCGGCCCAACAAGTCTGTAACTGCTTTTCGGAATTTTTTTGCTTCTTCTTCATTGGCAAAATTAAGAGCAACTTGACAGGTCTGAAATATTTTCAACAAAAAAGGTAAACAACAAACCCCACAAATTTAGCTTTATTTAACAAAAAAGTTGATAACTAACAAAAGTACATTTCTGAAGAAAGCAAGCTTCACTTTATTAGCACACAAGAACTTTATCACTTGAATAACTTAAGAAGATAAAAACCATGGAGAAGGTAAAGACTACTATTACGTTACAGTATCTTCAATCAAAAAAAACGAGTGAACAGAATTTGATCCTTCAATAGAGCTCTGTAAACATTTGGATTTGAAAAGACAAACACTAGAAACATTGATCAAATGCAGATCAACTCTATCTTTTTTATGCTTTTATTTTGCAGCTTAATTACAGGTATTCACGTACATTATTAAAAGTGTGAGAACACACTGACATTATTACGGCATTTAGTCCACACTGAAGAAAAATGTGAAAAAATAACAAAGAAAGAAGAAAATGCATTTTGAAAAGACAGATATATCATCTAATCCAACCTTTTACTGTAGAAAATTTAGGAAACAGAAATATGAAAACAAGAATATTAAAGTCACTCATAATCTATGTTGTTGTCATTGTTTAGTTGCTAAGTTGTGTCCATCTCTTTTGTGACCCCATGGGCTGCAGCCCTTTAGGCTCCTCTGTCCATGGAATCTCCCAAACAAAAATACTGGAGTCAGTTGCTATTTCCTTCTCCAGGGGATCTGCCCAACCCAGGGGTCAAACCCACATCTCCTGCATTGCAGGTGGATTCTTTACCCCTGACCCACCAAAGAAGCCCTGATCCCAGGTACAGGCAATAAATTTTTAAAATTCTGTTTCCCCTGTCTCACTTTCCCTGGTGACTCGGACAGTAAAGAATCTGACTGCAATGCGGGACAAGTGGATTCGATTCCTGAGTCAGGAAGATCCCCTGGAGAAGGGAATGGCTACCCACTCCAGTATTCTTTCCTGGAGAATCCATGGACAGAGAAGCCTGGTGGGCTACTGTCCATGGGGTTACAAAGAGTTGGAGAGAAGTGAGCAGTTAACACTACTGTATTTTAGTGCTCTTCTAGGTCATGAACTATTCTTTCACAAAATAATTTGTATGGCAATATAATCTTCAATATTTAAAAGTTACCATGGGTTAGGGGTTTCATTTTTTTTTTTTTAATTTATTTATTTATTTTTTTTTATCACACCATAGTGTATCTTTTTTTTTTTTTACATGTATTCCCCATCCCGGTCCCCCCTCCCATCTCCCTCTCCACCCAATCCCTCTGGGTCTTCCCAGTGCACCAGGCCCGAGCACTTGTCTCATGCACCCAACCTGGGCTGGTGAACTGTTACAAGGGGTTTCATTTTTATAGACAGGAAAACTAAAATTCAGAGAGTTAAACTATTTGTCCAAAATCACATAGACAGGTTAAAACTATATGCCCAAAGACAGAGAAGATGAAAAAACCTCTTTTCTACATGCCAAATTACATTTACATTCCTCTCAGAAAACTTTTCCCTTAAAATCTTAGCTGTTGCTTCCTATTAAGCCATAATGTCTGTGACTAGGCTTTTAAAAGTAAAATAATTCCTTATATTTTATACAATGGGTTTACATAAAAAGCACATACTTTCCAGACAAATGTAAATGCAATTACACTAAACAGGGAAATAAAGGAAATATGACTTACATCTCCAGCAAAGGTATGAAAATATCCTCTAGGACTATTATATACAAAGTTATTGTATAGCTCTTGTTCCCACAATAGTTTCCCATCCTAGAAAAAAAATAAAAGTTGAAATAAGAGTTACCAATAAGAAAACCTCGAGGAATTAAAAAAAAGGAACAAAAACAAAGCAGATGACTCCTATTAGGGCACTGTTTATATTAACAGCCTTTACATACAGACCACATACATGTACAATACATAGATAACATATATATAATTTAATAAGTAGCAACAAAACAGTAAATATTGGATAGTGTTTCTTTCATAAAAATTACATACCAAGTGAGCCGAACTCAGTATGCTAAGATATAATCTTATTAGCCAAGCATTTCCAAATATATACTTGGTCAAATACATAACTAGAACAATTACTAGATCATCAATGTTAGAAGTGGTAAGATTCTTTTGTACATGCACTGATTATCAAAGCATAGTTCTATCAGCAGTATTTAGAGTGTACACTACCAAATATTACTGGATTTCATTCTCTTTTCCTCAATTCTGTAGACGCTGAGAGGGTCAAATATGCCTTCTCTGTACTGTTCATTAACAATCTTTGAATTTTTAACTTTTGCAGAGTGGTCTCCTAATTAATTGATTTATTATTAATAAATTGTTATTAATTAATTCTCCAAAATTAATTCTGATTAACTCTCCAAAAGAATTGATGCTTTTGAACTGTGGTATTGTAGAAGACTCTTGAGAGTCCCATGGACAGTAAGGAGAACAAACCAGTCAATCCTACAGGAAATCAGCCCTAAATATTCATTGGAAGGACTGAGGCTGAAGCTCCGATACTTTGGCCACCTAATGAGAAGAACGGACTCACTGGAAAAGACCTTGATGCTGGGAAAGATTGACAGCAGGAGGAGAAGGGGATGACAAAGGATGAGATGGTTGGATGGCAACACGGACTTGATGGACATGAGTTTGTGCAAGCTCTGGAAGTTGGTGATGGACAGGAAAGCCTGGTGTGCTGCAGTCCATGGGGTCACAAAGAGTCAGACACGACTGAGCAACTTAACTGAACTCCTAATTAAACACTGGTATAAGTACTATCAATCATGAGCAGAAAGAGAATGATGATTAAAGTGTACAAGGTTAAACTATGGTTAAGGGATCCGTCAGTGACTGTCATATCGATAGCCCTAGTACAAGAAATATCATTAACCTTAATACCAAATGTGGCTAATTGTAAGTATTTAGCAATGGTTATCTATAATTGGAGATGACTGGTTAGGGAAATACAATCACAGCCCTATTCTGAAATGCAAGGTTCCACCTAGACCACCAAATCAAAAATATTTTAAAATGCTGTATACATATTATGGGGCTTCCCTCATAGCTCAGTTGGTAAACAATCTGCCTGCAATGCAGGAGACCTGGGTTCAATTGCTGGGTCGTGAAGATCCCCTGGAGAAAGAAATGGCAACCCACTCTAGTATTCTTGCCTGGAGAATTCCATGGACAGTGGGGCCTAATGGTCTGCAGTCCATGGGGTCACACAGAGTTGGACATAACTTAGCGACTGAACTACCACCACACACATTATGACCTTTATAATGGAATCCCCTTCTTCTCAGTGGAGTTCTATGTATATCTACTTTCTAAATAGTGCTTCTCCTTGCTGATGAGAAATATATCAAAGGACTGAGGAGTGTCTTTTAAACTATGCATGTGCTCCCCACCTCCCAGAATCACTGCCATGGTTAAACTCCTGTTAGTAACAGGAGTACACCACATCTCTCAGCTGTCTTGAAGTATGTGAAATGGGTGTTACAAATTACTAATTTACAAAGGGCAGTGACTTAAACTAACTTACTCTCAGGGAAATACTCTGCAACAGATCCAGATGGTCATCACACTTTACAAATAAATAAGCCGAAGCCCAGAAATGTAAAGCAGTTTGATTACACCCTGTTTAATCGTAAGTACTGTTCAGGAGTTCAAAGTTAGTTTTCTGTTTTTTTGTAACTACAACCCTATTATACTTATTGCCACACATAAATATTAAGTAAGGAGGCTCACCCACAGAAAAGATTTTAAAAGATAAACAGAGACTTCATCTCAGCAAAAAGATGATTTTTAGAGTGACTATCAGAGATGAGTTCCTGACAAAGGGCATCCAATCTAAGACAAGGTGGATTTACACTTGAGATAGACGGATACAAAGCTGGGAAAATCTGAATATACATACCTATGCTGAGAAACAACATAAAACAGGCAGCAAATACATTATTATAGATATTGTATAATACTTTAAATCCGGGCTGCAGTAAGTAAGAACACATCAAGCTAAAATATAAGATACACTTTTGTAGTTCCCTGCAAGAACTATATATGCTAGTCTGTGATGGATAGTATGGAATAAAAAGAGTATCAGAAAAGAAGAGAATGTGGGAAAAGTTCATATCCAAAAGAATAAAAATAGAGAAACCAACAAAACCTTTAACGTGTGGATAGATAAAATGGGGAACTATTCACATTTGGCTTAGGGTTTGCTGCCAATTTGATCACAGTGCCCATGCTTCAATATCTCAAACCAAGCTTCACTCTCCTAATATTAAGGATAATTTAAATATTACATAAAGGATAAACAAATCTATACTAAATTAAGGTAGAAAACCTAATCATCTACACTTTAAGTGAAGGCAAAACAAAACTCACCTTGATATCAAATATTCTTAAAAAATAAGATCTCTGTGGATTGTCCTTAACAAGACAAGCAACACCACTGCACTTCTTTGACCACATACAGTTCCGATCTGCTGCATACAACTGTACCACTGCTGAAGACATGGTCTGCAAAACATCAAATTTACAGCCATTAGATTCAAAATTACACTATGATAACCAAGCCCCTACTAACACCTTGACTGCAATCTCACATGAGACACCGAACCAGAACCCCCTGCCAACCTGCTCCTAAATTCTGGACCTGAAGAAACAAAAATGTAATAAACATTTATCATTATTTTAAGCTACTTTTTGAACTAATTTCTTATGTAGTAATACACAACTAATACAATTACTAAAAATAATTATTGAAAGTTAATATGCATTGAGGCTTAACATGTATAAGGAATGTGCTAATGAGCACTTTTAAATATAATTCAATTTTTATTACTATTAAAGCTTCATTTTATGCTTAAGAAACCCAAGGTTAAAGAGGATAATCTGCCCAATACCACAGAGTTGAGTAGCAGAACTGAAGTTCTAATCCAGGCAATTTGTAACTTCAGATCCCGTACTCTTACTCCCAGTACTGTATACTGGTTTTCCAATAAAATGAAGTGAAAGTGAAAGTTGTTCAGTCGTGCCCAACTCTTTGCGACCCCATGGACTATACAATCCATGGAATTCTCCAGGCCAGAATACTGGGATGGGTAATCTTTCCCTTCTTTAGGGGATCTGCCCAACCCAGGGATCAAACCCAGATCTCCCGCAACTGCAGACAGATTCTTTACCAGCCGAGCCACCAGGGAAGCCCACAAAATGAACATCTGAGCAGCAAAGCAGTAGCTGCTAGTGAAGTCTCATTTCCATAGAAGAATCAACCCCGTACATACAGGTACTAAGCCAAATCCGAAAGCAAGATTTATGCTTATTAATTACAGTGCTGGAAACTATGAACACACACTGAAAGATGAATTCTAACATCTCCTTTTTTAAAGATGGTAAAACTGAGGGAAAAGAAGATTTTAAGTGAAGTGCACCTGGCCATACTGCTTGAAAGCTATAATGAAGATATGGAAGTGATCTGAGTGACTATTGTCCCAATTCTCCCATTACCCTTTTAGATGCACAGGAAAGGAGTTAATTCACTGTGTGCAATGGATACCTTAGAACATGCATTAGGGTTTTGTAGCTGCCACCTCCCTCATGACTGTATCACGACACAATTGAAACTTTCCCTTAATTCTAAACTAAGTTTCCTATATACTACAATCTAACATGGAACTATTCAATCCCAATTTTTGTAAGAGTAATACACCCATTTAGAGGTCAGCACTTATAAATCCTCTGAAAACAATAATTTTTTCTGATCCAGAAATCTTACTCCTAAACTAGAAATTAAGTAAATAATACAAAAATTGTATTTAATATAAATAAAAAATATTTATATAAATGTAAATTAATTATGTTTTAAAAACAGAAGACATTTAAATAACCACAAATAGGAGACAATTATGATTTGGTACATCAGTTCAATGAATACTGGGCATTGTGATAAAAAGACAGACTACATTAAGATTTAGAGATGAAACTGTTTTGGGTTACTTAACTATGTCTGGGGAATGCCTTCTTTGCTAAGAGAATTCCAAAGACCAATTAATAAACTCAGAAATCAGTGTTCTGCTAGAGATCAAAATTTCAGAAAGACTTTTCCAGGTAACAGTGACTGATGATGTTTTTAACTTTTGCAGACCAAACTCATCTTTATATTTCATAGACAGCCATGAAAAGGACACAAAGCAGCAGGAAAAATTCCACAAGAGCCAGCTGAAAAATTATGAAGACAGCTCAGAAACTAGGACACTGGGTTTTAAAAAAGTAGATTGAAGAATGTGGGTGTGCCCTTGGCCTGCTTAGAACATACCAGTGAGCTGTAAGTGTAGTCTTAACATGACACCTCCACAGGCATCTTGACCCTAAACCTCTAGCATTGAAAATATCAGAAAAACAGATTTTGTATCTATTAACCAAAGATATTAAAAATCAAGTTGAAAACTTACAAAATCAGATGAGAAAACTTCTTTTCCAAGGAAAATTCATATAAATTACAGCTCTTTTAATATGGTGCTGTAAAAATGTGGTTATTTCTAAAAAGAAAAACAATTAGGAATCTAGATACCAAGAAAGTGTCCTAAAAAGCTTTTGACTGTATTTTTTAACTAGAAAGCAAGAAGTTACAGCTTGCAAAAGAAAAAAAAATGTATTATTAAAAGAGTTTGAAATTCCATTATGGAAATTCCCTTGCAACAAAAGTCCCTATGGAACAAACATTAACAGTGCAAAACACTGTCAGGATGTATATATGGACTTAATAACAATCACAAATACCCCCAAATCTCATTTAAACATTTACATAAGTGTAAAACAAAATTTTAAAAATCTTTACACCTTTTAAGGTATAAAGATCTGGGAAACAATTTTATAATTCTTTACACAAGTATGGTTGGCATTATAAACCTTAGTCTAAAACAATTTATAAAACTTTAATACTAAAGAATGCAAATAAGCGATTTTCAGTAATGCAATTTTTAAAATTTGGTACAATGTTACCGTCAGTCTCAGTCAGTCAGTCAGTTCAGTCGCTCAGTCGTGTCCAACTCTTTGCGACCCCATAAATCGCAGCACACCAGGCCTCCCTGTCCATCACCAACTCCCGGAGTTTACTCAAACTTATGCCCATCGAGTTGGTGATGCCATCCAGACATCTCATCCTCTGTCGTCCCCTTCTCCTCCTGCCCCCAATCCCTCCCAGCATCAGGGTCTTTTCCAATGAGTCTAAGTGTGCCTATTTCATTCCTTCTTAAACTGTCGAAGTCTGAAAACTATATATTACAGCACCTTATAAAAGCTTTTTCTGATTAACTCAGAATAATTATAAAGACTAGCATGACATTTAATATACAAATGCCAGAAATAATAAAAACAGTGACTATCCCTAAAACTCTAGATTGACAGTGGCTTAATTAAGTTTTTAAAAACATTCCTTCCATTCTTTTAAAGTAATTACAGCTAATCAACTCAACTACTTCTTGTCTTTCATAATCAAGAAGGTATTCTTGAAAAACAACCTAAGGACAAGTGCTTAGGAAAGGAAATCAGTCTGTTTCTTAAGCTCAATAATGTTAGGGTGAAAATTTGTTAATAATTAAAAGAAAAAAAAAGTACTGTCTCAACTTTCGTAGAAAGAGAACCTGACCTATCTCATGCATTGCTGATATTTTAGTGCTGAGTCATTCCAACGGTTCATCAGCCCCCAGAACTTTCACTGTCAAGGACAGAAATGAAATGGAGGCCCCAGAACTTTCACTGTCAAGGACAGAAATGAAATGGAGGACGAAATCTGGGATGTGAGTCCCTACCACTCCCTTCAGCAGGGCGCATCTCTCTGGGGCTGGCTGCAACAGTCAAGAAGCATCTCCCTGATTCTCGAGGTTGAGATGACTGCTTTTCCTTCATGTTTCTAGAAGCGTATGTGTATCCTGTATAAAATCTTGTCACGTCACACATCTTACTCTAAAATAGAATAATTTTCTAAATTGACTTATTAGTAGACTGTAATTCCCTTAAGTATCTAAAAGTTTTGTTAAGTCTATATTCTACTTCACCTGTACTTTGCCCCAAGTAAGCAAGCACATGTTAAATTAAAAATTGCCGAGTATGATTTTGATAATGATACTATGATAATGCACAGAGATTGACCTTTTTTTAGGATACACATTCTGAAATATTTGGGGCATCATATCAGCAACTTATTCTTCAGTGATTCAGAAAATAACAATATGCATATATATACACATAGAGAAAACCATGGTAAAATGTTATAACACTTGACAAACATGTTTGAAGTATATACAGGAAATCTTTGTACTGCCTTTACAACTATTCTGTAAGCACGAAGTTACCTTGAAACAGAAAAAGTTTAAAGCACAAATGATTCAAAACAAGGGGGGTATTGTTTATCCCCTTCCACAGTCCAGACAGTCTTAGGAAGCAGGCTCTCTTCTCAGAGTCAATGCTACCTCCCCACACATACTAGCCACTCCACCGACGCAAGATTAAGGAAACCACTACTTCTTCCGAGTACCTCTATATTAATACTTTGTTAAAAGGGGTTTCATCTTGAATGAGACTCAAATCACACTATCAGAACAATCACATTATATAGCAGGTCAGAATAAGAATTTTAGGTAAAGAAAACACACATTTCTTTATTATAGAATCACCCGACATGGAAAAGACTGAAAAATATCAGGACTTACAGATCTTTGCTTGACAACCAACTGTCTACAACAAGTACTATGATGTAATACTTAATAATTGTCTACAATGATTATTGTTTTGTTAATGAAAGAATGGTGTTAAAGAAAAAAATTTCAGACACTTTCAAAGAATATTAAAGTAAACTGTGGGAAAAAAAAATCATTTGACTGAATAAATAAAAGTCTTTTCTGCAATCACAATGGCCTAGATTACTAGCCAAAACATTTCAGCTTTTTTTATGTGCATGTGTAGCTAGCCCCAAGTTCCTAAAAGCTAACTGCAAAAATCAATCCTAAGTTTTCTTATTACATAAAAGCTAAGCTTTAAATATGTTCTTAGATACTCTGATGACATACTTATATGAAATGCCCCATTATTATCCTGAACATGAAATTTTAATATGAAACATAAATGGAATTTTAAAAGTCAAGAAAGATAAGGAGTTTGGTTGTTTCTTCATTAAAAAAATTAACTATAAAAATTCTGAATTCTTATAATTATATAGTGATCTCAAAGAGAAATTTCTTAAATAATTAACTTATAACACACTTTTGTTCCATGGTAACCTAACAACCCAATACAGAAACCACCCATTTGAAAAATAGAAACAAGATTAGTAAGTCATAAGTACTAGTAAAAATCATCTAGAAAAAGAAAGCACAAATAATTCATTCCAGAAAGAAGAAATTTTTATCACCTGGTAATTTCCACAATGAGAAATAACCAGAAAAAGAAAAAAAAATAGAGAAAGGTAGAGATTTTTAAAAAGCATACATCAAAGACGGAAGGCTCAACAAAGAACAGTA